CTCTTCGTCTAGTACTAGCAAATGCTAATGCGCTATTTACTTGTAAAATAGTAAATCTTCCAGGGGAGCTAAGTATTTTTTCCACAGTTTATAAATACTGAGTTGTTTCTCAAGTAAATGTTCCAGGGGGCTAAGTATTTTTCTACAGTCTATCAATACTGAGTTGTTTCTCATGTTTCAATAAATTATGTTAGTCATAAAAGTTGCTATTACTTACTTTTCATTACATTTGAAGTGCTTACAGATTTTGATAATGTGATATTATGATTAATTACTTTAAAAAATACATAATTCTAGAAATCTCATTTAAGCCCTCCACTCTCAAATCCTTGGTTTTAATGTACATTCACAAATTTTTCTCTGTTGGACTTAAAAAATATATTATTAATGTATTATATACAGTAGGTCGAATATGGTTGAGAAAGTGTGCAGGGTATTAGGATACTAGTGATAGCCCTACCACATGATGCATAGTTCCATTAAGTCTGGCTATGTTTTCAAGTCCATCGTGGATAATGTCTCTACCCTCTGATGCATAGTTTGGTTAGAGTAGGAAGGGGGAGGGGTATGTGGGTCATTATAAACATAGTGTGTAATGTCTACCCCTTAATGCATAGTTCAGTTAGGTGGGATATGTGGATCATTATAAACTTACTGAGGTAATGTCCCTTCTCCATATTAATGCATAGTACGTTTAGGATGAGGGTATGAGTGAGTGACAGCAGGGAGCTATCGATTGCATGATGAAGGTAGAACGTAATGACGCCACTAAAAGTCATCTGCGCATGCGAGGAGGTTAAGGTCACCTCATCAAGGTAGAACGTAATGACGTCACTAAAAGTCATCTGCGCATGCGAGGAGGTTAAGGTCACCTCATCGAGTAGATTCTTGAACGTAATTTGGCCAAATCTACGTACGCAGAGAATGCAGGACGCCAGGTAGGACGACCATGCATGAGTGATTCTGTTCTAGCATCGCATCGTTACACAAATCGAAAGCACCCTATTAAAATAGTAACGCTCCTACCCTAGGGAGCACAGTTCTGAATAAGCTCTATTTATTATAGCCCTGATTTTTTTTTAGTGGATAAGAGCCTGAAAAAAAAGTGAAGGAAAGACTGGGCAGTTGCGAGAATGGAACCAGCAACATATGAGCCACCACTCTGTTCTTCCTGAGAACTCAACAGTAGCGAAAAAAATTATTATTAAATATAATTGTATAAATTGCATATTTCATATTGTGGATCATATTTGATGTTGGATGACACCAAAGCCTGCAAAATTAAAGAGTATTTCTAATTTAATCCAAGGTTTTACTCAAAAAGGAAAGTTAATGTTGCATTACAGACAATGAGCCGCCTTGTAAAACCACCGGAAGAAATCTCACTTAATTGTCACTCATCCGTCAATTTTATCACCACAGTAATAAATCCCAACATTTGAACAACCAATGTGAACTACACTCCAAGTCTTTCATTTGATATATATAAATATATATTATATAAATGTTATTGACAAGCTATGGCAAAAGGACTTGCCAATTACAAAACGGAAATATATCTCTCAGAAATGGCGACCTTATTCTGAAGATTAATGATAATAATATAATATTTTGGTATTATATAGGGCATAATGTCAAGGTTTATATGTAGACTGTGCATTATTACCCTCTTCATTGGACTTAACACTTACAGAACACATACAGCCCCCTGGGGAATATGCCATACTGTTGCAGCTAGCTATCAACACATTATCATACAAACCTACAAGATGCCGAGATGGATCATCGGCAAGTGATACAACACGGATAGAGTCCGTGCCCAAACATTCAACCATTCAGTTTGGAACCATCCTAGTATTCCACATGATCATACAATAAGCCAACAGAACTGGGAGACGACTACAGTTGACATTCGGAAACTGTATGTTACAGAGCTTTTAAGTTCCAACTTCACCAACTTCCAGTTGTTGTTTCAGGTCAAATTTTAGCTTGGTAATTTTTGGCAAATTACATTAATTAACTCAGGGGAGGTCATTCTGAGGGATAAGCAGCATTAAGTGCTCTAATTATGAGAATTGCTTAGTAATGAAAATAATATTGGTTTTGGTGTACAGATTGAATATTCCATGGGATTTGTAGACCCACTATACTGTACAACACCTGCCCTTCAACAAAATCAAGACGGCCTCTGGCATCCCCACGAGCAAGCATGAATCTATGATACTTTACTAGTGTCTTATCAACTGTCTCTCAGAAGTCAGTGCAAATTGGTGTCAACATGTGTAGCAAAATAAAAGAAAGCTTGTTTAAATGGATCTCCTGGAAGTGGCTTCTCCAATTTGGACCACTGACATTAGACTTAGCTAAGCTTATGAATTAAAACTTACTGAACTTTTATTATTGATATTTAGGTTGGAGACTTACTGAATATAGAGTTTTGAAAAAATGGAAATTGATTGACACCTGCCTTGACCGACAGCCAGAGACCTTGTAAGAAGGCTTACTGAATATAGCTCCACTACAGAGCAGGATAATACCATATAAATTATCTTCCCTTTGCACATCCAGGTCTTGCAAATAACATTAATTGTAAGCTTTGTCTACAATACCTGAGATTGCTAATAATTGGTACACATGTGCATTATATGGGCAAATCACATATTTGTCACATGAAACTACATAGGTAAGGTAATATGTACTGGTAAAGAAACATGTTTCTGTTGCTTGCAGATTATAAATTAATATTATTATCAATCATGAATTACAACAAAAATAAATATTACTTAGGACAGAATACGATAGAAAAATCCAATTAAAATGATGCTTTTTAAGCTGCTTATTAAAGTATTACATATGTTTAACAAATGAGTGGTAATAAAATATTTAATATTTTGGTTTATAAATATTAAAAATGAGGGTTCAAAATATTAGTATAAGCCCCGCCCACTGGAGATTTTACTGAAGTGTAAGTAGAGCTGATGAGGTAGACTTGGTATAACAATCACAGCCATCCCGTTTATGTAATACAAACATCGTATAGTATGTCATATGAAAGAGGTTCACTTGGAAAGTACTGATCTAAAGAAGGAAGCAAAGAAATGGAGCAGCTTTATTAATTTGAGCCACTAGAAAGCGAATTTGAAAAAGAAAAATTGTTAGAAAAACAAAATCGATTGGCCAATGCTAACTAATTTTGAGCACTATACTATATGTACTGTCCTACTCTAGGCCCAACGGACATAGGCCTAAGCAGAGTAACAGAATGAAAACTTTTCAGCGTACGATGGTTAATATTATTATTAATAATATACATTGTTTACGTCTAAATTAGCTTACAGTCTGTATATTATAAAGCTTATTTTGCAAAATTTTTACATTACAATGTCGACGAAGCTGAAATTTGATGTATTGTTCACGGCCTACGCCTTCGATGATGATAGTAAACAAAGCCGATTCGGCAATCATGATCACGTCACATTGTAAATTGTTGTTTTTAATATTATCGACTAAAATAAAAAGCTAACTTATTATTGATATGTTGATATACATACTGTGTGATACTCACTAATAATACAGGCCTTGAAATTGGTACGAAAAAACCATGGCAAAAATTGCCGATGTAAATTTGACATTCCTTGGCCAGTTTTTGTATTTTGAGTTTCAGCAGGTTCCAGACAGTATATGATTGTACCCATAAATTTGTTTACGAAAATTTTTATATTTAAACACATTTGCTGTAGGCCTATGTAGCGAGTACGGGCTCCGTAGTATGGGGTGGATGCAGAGAATAGGGCCTAGGCCTACTCGCATCCTCGCTCTTACGTTGTGGTCATGACGTGATGCCAACACGCTAATTTCAGGAGCTCCTAATAATGTTTTGAATGATTATTTAATAATTACTCTCCGAATTTCCAGCGTATCATTACCCTAGACCTTAACTGAGAACATCGTAAACCCGTGAATCCTACTATCTAATATTTTTGTGTTGCCAAGAGTCACGATCCCGCGAACATCGTGTGTTATGTTGTACCGAGTGCATGTCATATCCGGTAAAGGTCAAATGCGGGTCAGATTCAGAAGGCGGAACTTTGCGATACAGAATTCATTAAAATAGGTGATTTAAAACTCGTATTTCAGAAAAATGCGTTATCTAAAAATAAAAGGAAAGCCACCGATATGTTTATTAAATAATTCTTTGTTTTATGACATTTTAAAAGTAACTAGAATATGTCATTTTTGATGAATCAAAAAAAGCTATTTATATCTCCACAAACTAGGGCAAGGGGCAATACCAGTTGTTGAAAACTCATTTCAAGCCTTCAATCAGTGATAATAGTAGTTTTGATGACTTCCTCTATGTGCAGTTATGTACATGTTCATTCATTTCTACTCTTGAATGCACTATGTGGGCTTGGCCATGGGTTTGATCGACCTTAATGGTTAATAATGACTTCATGTTAAAACCAATGATAAACAGGAAAATAAAAAGTAAGTAATATTCTGGTCATAAGAACTTAAATTAAATGAGAAGATAAAGGTTGAAGCATAACAACTACAAAATTGCAACCACTCTATAGTAACACCCCCCCTCCCCCCATGTTACCGACATGGGGAGGGCATGACAAGGGGAAAGACTATAAAGTAAAAGGGCGCTAGTTAGGGGAATGAGATCTAATGAGGTGAATTTTCAGTGTAATCTTTTTTTGGCATTCCAATTTCTAATGGGTAATCTGTAGGGAGGGGGTGGGATTTTAAAGTTTTTTCTAGGGGACTGAGCCATCATGCTCCCTTAGATACACACTTGTACAGCAAGAGAAAATAAGGAAAGTTAAACTACAGGTTCAGAGATGAGATCAGAAAGTCAACTGGCACCAAATGACTCAGAAACAAACAACTGGACAGTGATAGAATGCATGGGAGAGAACCTTTTCTAAGCAGTAGGGCAGCAGGAAGAGGATAATGGTACATATTGCATGTGAAATTTTATATATTTTAGTCACCTCTTCACAAACCGCCATTTCCCGCTCTTCTCTTGCCATTATCTCTTCTTCCTTCTTTTTTTGGTCCAACTTATCGCGTTTCATGCGCTCTGGCATGACGTCATCCAGCATACCTAGCTCGCGTTGCGTAAATACATAATCAAGTAGTTTACGAACACCAACTGTACCTATAACCTGAAATCAGAAATGATGATAAAAATAATGATCACATTATAATTATCTTGTATAACAACAATAATAAATAACTATCAAATTTTACTTGACAAAAACATGTGACATGCCTAAATATGGTCATGATGACATCACATGACATATATATAGGCACATCATCACTATATATGTTTCTAACAGTTTTTTGTGAAAGTTTGTTAATCTGGCAAGTTATTTGCAATAGTTTTTCAGATATAAGTTACTTTATAATTACTACTATGTTGAAGATTTACTCTGGTGCAATGCCTTAAGTACGCAAATGCAACCATGCAACAGTATATGTTAAAACAGCATATAGTACACAACTTTTATACAAATTATACTTTTCAGTTTGAAATAAATAAAAAAAAAAAACATAACTGCAGTCAAAGCAACATGATGTTGAATTTGAAGCCAATTACATAAAAAGTATAAAAGTTCACAAAGGATGCAGTAGCAAATTGGAATTAGAAATATGATAGCTCACAATATGCTTTATTTTGATTGGATTTATTCATTACCTTCCAAAAAAGCACACACAAAGTTAATGTTCAATTACAGAGAATCAAAAAACAATACAAATAATACAAGGCCAGTGTACATTTGAGAAGATTTAAGCAATAATCGGTTACATCCCTACTCAAATTTTTACCAGAAGTATTAAGATACTGACAGGTAAAAACTAGTATTCAATAAGGTAGCTAACATTCGGTTGTGCAATATTATTACAACAGTTCATGTAAAATTTAGTACTCTGCACACTTATACTGTTTGTGCAAGTAATAGCTGGCACTAACTTGATTGAAGTAATGAATTTAGACACATTCTAAATTATAATGCACTGTTATTGTATTAAATAATAACAAATACCAATTACTATACAATACTACACTATAGCAGAGCCATAATTTAGCTACACTAAAACATGATAGCGCCCTCAACTCACCATGACTGGAAAGATCAGTGCTGCCTTAGTAGTCTTTATAATCCAAAGTATCACTAGACAGCTAAGCTGAACAGCTGTGAAGACATGCACACGACGTAGTTCAACTTGACGCAGAAAGATGTAATCTGGTTGATGTTTTGCAGGCATAAAGAAAAGCTTTATCCTGTCAACAAACTATGAGGAAAAATAAAGAAATATTAATGTTAACTTATTATGTTGAAAGGTTTGCATGGCAGAAAAAAAAATAGTATACATTTAAAGTACACTACATTAATAGCATTTAATAGAGAGAATTTGAAGATGTTTATGAGTAAGCCAAAAAGATTATGATTGCAGAAATCGATCTAAGATGTAATGAAATTATGGACCAAACAAGCAGTAACAGAAGAGGACTAATAGGTAAGATGCAAATACCCAGATTTACACACAGACAAGATTTATGGTGAAATTTGAATGTTTTTCATAATAATTTCTCAAGACTGTGCACAGAACCAGAGGGATAAAAAAAAAAAAAAAAAACAAATCATCAACAGGTAGAAGAATATCAAGAACTGTCAAAGAATACCTGGAGAAAACAACAATAAGCTATGTCTAGTGAACATCAAGTTTTAGTTTCATTTGGCAGGCCAATTTGATTAAATAATAGATTCTAAAAAGGAAAAATGTTATTCTGTTAATGAATTAGAATGCTACTTCAGGCTGAGATATTCCATTATGTTTTAACACTCTGACCGCCAGTGGTTTGAAAAAATATTATCAGCCACCGCCAGACATTTTAGCAAATTTTAACACTTTTCCGAAGCTCGTTGAGAGTGTGTATGTGATCAGATTGGCATGTAGTGAACACTACAAGAACTACAAACATGTTAGCTTTACAATGGTACCAAACATTTTATTCTAATCACAGTCGGTGACCCGTAACAGTAAAATGAAAATGACTCACTTTTGGAGATTTACGCAATTTTGCACAACAAATCTGAGATAATAGCAATTTCGTGAAAGTAAATCAATACCCCACAACGCTTATGTAAACAAACAAATGGCGAACTACTTATGGTCCAGACTGAATATAGTGTTCAAATTGTCAGTACATGTTGGTAATTACCCCATCTATCGGATTCCATACAAAAACCTGAAACACGGAGATCTCCGTGTTTGGCGGTCGAGCGTTACGTTAGCAAACACGGAGATCTCCGTGTTTGGCGGCCAGAGTGTTAAGGGTGAGAACATATTTTATTAATACTTGTACACTTATAATTACACTCTAACCTGTACTCCTTCTAGAGATGACACACCCATGTAGAGAAATACACCATACAACACAGGCATTGGAACAATCTATAAAGGAATTACAAAGCACCACATAAATTTAAAAAAAATATAGACACATTTGGTAGGCCTACTGCCCATACTGAAGTGGTGGAGTCAAAAATAAATAAATAAATAAAATAACATCTTAATGTCACTCACAAGCCTGGTTTCCTTACAATTGCTACACTCTCGCTACAGTGTCGCTACACTCTCGCTACAGTGTTTTCAGTGCAATCATTTTAATGCCCGGTGCAATCAGAAAGGCTCCCTGCTCTGACTGACCAATCAGCATCACTGAAAACCTATTGGCAATAGCATGTAGGGATTGTATGGAAACCAAGCTTAATCAAATTTTACGGTAAATGTACTGTAAATATATGTGCTGGATTTTAAACACTGTTCAATAAAGAAATGTAAATTGGTAGTAATAACATGTAGATTATATAGATTCATTCAAAAAATACTGTGAAGTATACCTGTAGAAGTGGTGTCATTAGTACAGCCAAACCCACCAGTATGAAGACTACAAGAGGAGTAACACGTTGCTCATGACAACCGAAGAACTTAGCTGGCCATACACAGTAATTCTTAAAAAATTTAAAAACTAATAAAATACAGTGAAAAGGGTGATAACAACTAGATAAATGTATATAATTTTACAAAAATATGAATAAACATTAATGTATAATTGTAAAGTAAATTCAGTTATCACTTTGTATTTGAAAAAAATTCATATTTACTGGTGTCTTATTTCGTGCTTGTTTTAATTAGCAAAAAAACCTCCCTCCAAACTCTCAACATTTTTGGTGGCCAGATATGGTCTAATATTACTACTATGAATATTAAGCATTTAGTTTTATTCAAATTAAAAGTGGATTCATTAGACTTACAGTTAAAATTGAATTGCACTGATGCATACAAATATTTAAAAGTACAATAAAAATTAGAATACAATGAAAAACATTTGATAACAGAGACTAAAAATAGTTGTATAATATATAATATAGTAGCATTATAATAATAATAGTACAGTAGTAATAGTAGTAGTTAGTTTATTATATGAAATTGTATTGATTAATAAATAAATCTTGAAAAACTTAAAAAATTTAATCATTGTATTAATGGCTTTAGAAGTAGAAAAGCCCTAAAGCTCAATCCTCACTATCAAATTTTAAGTGACAAATTTGTGTGATGTGTCCACATATGGTCCTATTACATCCAAATATGGGCATATTACATTTTTTTGTGACATAAAATTTCATAGTGTGGACAGACCTTTAGAAATAAAGAATTGAGCTTACTGCCGTTGGAAAATATGGCGTCGTTTTGAAGGTTTTCAGTGTGTATGCCATCTTAAACGTTCCAATCATTAATATTGTCGACATGAGAAACACGTCTGTGAATCCTGTGTGACTGGGTTCGTTGCTATAGAGGGTACTGTTAATGCTGTCACACACATCTAATATATCCTCTTCAGGAAAATTATATTCATATATTCCACTCGTATTCCTCTCACATAGACAATCGTATGTGACATTACTCTCAGGTCTAATAAGAAAAAAAATAGATGTCATATATCTTAGGTATATATAAAAATATAACATAATATTTGGCAGCTTTATAAATGTTTTTATTCATAAAATTAACATTTCATTTTAAAAATATTACAAAACATTTATAAAAAAAAAATACATTGTAGTTTTGATTACACAAATTATAAATTACATAAAATATTAATATTTCTTATGTTATATAACTATTAGTGTTATTAAATAACAAGGATTGAAATAATTTCATTGAGTGTATTTGACTTCTCTATGAAATAATAAAATAAAAATCAAGTTGATTAAAATACAAAAAACTCGATAGTAGGTACCTGTACAGAGCTTTAAATGCTCTGTCTCACAGTCCGTTTTTAAAAGGTCACTATGAATTATCATAGTCCATTTTAAAAGGTCACTATGAATTATCATAGTCCATTTTAAAAGGTCACTATGAATTATCATAGTCCATTTTAAAAGGTCACTATGAATTATCAAATCTTAAGCTATTGACACTTTCAAATGTTATGTGACAAATAAATGTGAAAAGCCCATGTAATATGGTATCATTGTCGCACAAAATTTGATAGTGTGGACAAAACTTTATACCAAATAATGAATGCTTACATAACATGAGATTCCCCATTTCCATAAATAGAGAACAGCTTATGAAAAGCTTCGTAGATGAAGATGGCGGAGATAAGTGTTGAGAAACTTTCTTCGGTGAAACGAGTGAAGTAACGAACCAACGAACTAGCGTCTGTTGCTACAAGGACGATGCACAGGAAAGCCGTCCACATACCAATCCACCAACGAAATGGGAGGTACTCTAAGTTCGCAGAGCTGTGGTGTAAATTGTAAGTATATATTATTATCACCAGTGGAGGTGTATCACCATTCCAAAGTTATAATATTCATTGTGTACTATGCAAAACCTTGAGAAAAAAAACGTGTCCAAATAGGAAAATCCAAGAACGTATACTACTTAGCTTCATAGCTCAGTAGGTAAAGTATCCGAACAGTAATCATAAGGTCTTGGTTTCAAATTCCGATGGGGACAATACTTTTTTTCAAAACTTTATTACCATTTATATTACTATTATATACATTTTTTTTCCTGTCATACAAAATAAGCATATAAGATTAAATAAACTTTCAATTTATATATCAACAAATAAAATCAAATTCATTTTTGATACAATGTCAAAGACAAAAGGGAGACATTAAAAAAACAATCCATTATACTCATTATCATTCTTAAGGAACACTGAAAACTGTTTGTTTGCAAAGGTCATTTAACAACTCTATTTTTATAGGAAAATTAGTCAATGTTATCACAATGACTATAAAGTGAAATTTGTTTTGCTCTGAAGCATACAGGTCATATAATATAAGCAAGGTCATATAATTATGGAAAATATTTTTTGTAATGGTATTTTTAATAGTAGAATCCTTGAAGGCAAATGAACATTATGGAAATCAATATCTATTCATTATATATTGAGTATGAATGGTTAATGTAAGACAGTTATCTGAGAAATGTTAAGGTATTGTAAACATTACAATACATGCATATAACGGCTCATCTTAAACATTTACTTCTATTGGCATAATTTTCAGCAATATTTTATCTCTATACATATTTGTATACAAATTTCTGGTTTTCAATAGTTTCTATTTCCATAGCAATGACTATACATATTTTAATTTATGAAATATGGAATACAGTTGATTTATTGATTACTTACTCGCAAAAGCCAATAAGAATTTTCTCATAGATGAGGATAGGTCCTGTGCTTCCAAGTATAGTAAGCGGCTGACCAGCGAACAGGGCATAGGCCACGCCGCATATGAAGGCACCAAGAAGCGACTCTAGCGTTGCCTTAAATAATAGAAAATATAATAATAACACCGAAGTATATACATGTAGTATAATTTAATACAGTTTTGTACATTATATCTATAATAATCAGGGGTGGATCCAAGTGGCACATGGGGTAGGGGGATGGGCCCCAAAAAAAAGACGGAAAAAAAGAACAGAAAAGAAAAGAAAGGGGAAAAAGGGTGGCATAGTACTAGAAAACAAGCTAATTTAATATAAGATTATGCATACTGTAGGTACAACAAAATGTTGAAAAAATGAGTTGGGATAAAAATAAATTGAACAACATAGTAACAAACAAATAACAGGTTACAGAACAGATGAGAAAAAAAATAAAATGTAGAAAAACAGATAAGAAACAAAAAACATCAAATAGAGCAAGTATGAGAAAGCATGGAGGAATTAGTTTAAAATTAGTCTAATTCCTCCATTGAGAAAGTAACTTGACAGTGAGGTAAGACAAAAAAGAGAAAGCATCAAAGTAAACTAAACAACACAAATAATAAGAACAATAATGATAAGAAGAAAAGCAATAAACAAAGTAACAATGAAAAGGCAACAACATAAAGAAGGCAATTAAAATGGGATTCAACATAAGGGGGACAGTATGATACATAGGGTGGACAGAATCTACATACTTATACAGTGTACATGATAGACATAGTATAGGACTGAATGCACATTTGTTAAAAACAGCCAGAAGACTAAGCAAAAAAACCAAATTGGATTCACAGCTTGAACGCAGTATTATCCAACATCATCAGCAACAAATACAGCAATTTATACATTAAAAGTGACTGTCCCAAGTGTCATTTCATCATTCACTCTGAACTGCAGCAACAACAGCAAACGAAGTAGACTTTACAACGTAATTCATTTGCACATGAATATTTCAACCTGACCTTAGGTCCTCTTCAGCATGACTGATTTCAATAACTGTATAAATATCAGGATATTACAAATGACAAAAATAAGGACCATTTAACAGTGACCACTAACCATTTGATGTCGTGTAGCATCACCAAGAAGACCACCGAATGTGATGACAGGTGTGATACAGGCAAAGTACATAAAGAATACTGAAGCTAAGCACTGTAGATGCAGGGCGTCAGTAAAATCACTTAGATAATGTGGGGCTCGCCGCTTGACGTCTTGCACAAGTCCACCAAATATTCTAAAAAATGTTTAAATATATATATATATACAGTATATATATATATATATATATATATATATATACACGCACGCACGCACGCACGCACGCACGCACACACACACACATATATATATACATATATATATGTATATACATATAAAAAAATAGTCATTTATCAATGCTATAAATATTTACTGTATGTATTAGCGAAAAAGCATTGATAAGTAAAACATATATAAATTTAATTTTCTATAACAAGCTTAATTATTGATTTATTGATATAGCTGAACTTGGCAGAATACTAATCCATGAATAATAATATAATTAGTAACAATAATTCAATATGCATTTAACTGATGCACTATACCAACATGTTTCTAAAAATAAAAGAAACTTCATGTTTAGTGACAATGGTGTGAGCGCCTTGGAATTCATGTAATGTATGTGATGACGATGATGATCAATGACGCATATGAATGTTACATTAAGTAAATATTTATTATAAATTACTTATATACATGACCCCTTACATTCACTAACGCAGCTATGTAAAATTTGGCAGATTACTTATACTTAAGATGCAGGTAATCATTTTACCACAGCTCAGGTCACTAATTAGATTGAAAATTTCATAGATTTTTTTTTTTAATAATAAAATGTTAATGTATTTACTTACCTTCCCGTTCTTTCAAGCCCTTCCTTCTTTTCTTCATCTTCTCCGTGGTCTGCATGTCCATTTGACCGTCCACCATCATGATGGTCTGACTCAAGACGATGAGTTGGTGGTGGGGCTACCTTTGGTGGTTCAATGCGAATATTCGGATCCCAAACACCTATATGAAATAGAATGTATAAAAGAAGCATAGTTTTCAATTGTAATTTTTGTTTTGTTACGTTGTTTTTTGAGAAAAAATAAATGAAATGAGAGATTAAAAAGATGTACAAGATTATTAAAAGTTTAAAAGTTAATAAACATACATAGATAAAAGATAAAAGTATATAAGAGCATTGAAAAAGTACAAGATTAAAGGCCACCAAAGTTTTAGCCTACAAGTCATACTTAATTGATTTTAAGGATAACATTATTTCCAATTTCCACAATACGTTTTCAAAATATTATCATAAAGTGTTTTAATTTAACTTGTAATCTTGAAAAGCCCACTTATATATTTTTGTACACAACAATATACATAAAAATATTGACTATATTATATACTGATTAGCTAATGTTGTATGTTTTCGAATGAAATTATTTGACAGTCATTCGTAATTGTTGTTCTTTTACATTGAAAAATTGGGTTTTAACTATAGAAGAATGATGTATATTTGGGGGAATGGGAAAAAGATAGATATCTCTCCCACTTTGCAATACGGGCTGATGTGTCCCCTGTCCTTCACTATTCAACGCCCATGATAATGTAAATGAAAGCAACAAATGTGAAGAGATAATGCACAGGTCTCTTGATCTTCTTGACTTTTGACTTAGCATATTACTTACCTGGGGGTAATACAGTCACTTGGTCCATGAACTCATCAATACCAGCTAGTAAATCGTCTCGATTATTTGCCTTGTAAGCCACTTCATGGAACACCTATTAATATTCCATACATATTAACAGTCACGTTTATAGATTAATAATAATATACATCCCCACAGGTGTGAAATTGAAAAACATTATGAGTATCCATTCCCTGATTGGATACATTAATGCAACATACATTCCATATGTATGGAAGTTCACATTTGTGAGGTGTCATCACCAAACATGAAAATGTGTTATAGATAAATTAAGATAGATGGCATTATAAGCTTTTGGTCTTTGAAGAAAGATGCTAGCTTGAGTACACCTGTCAGATGTATGAAAGCACCTCAGAGAAAATCACTTTTGAAGATAAACTACTGATAAATTTCCTCTTGGTTTTCCCATTTATAAAAAAAAAAAAAAATAGATTTACAAAATATGCATTAAAAACACTTTTAATATTTAATCCAGAACTTTTGCAAATATGAAATGTAACATATTAAACTGAGCATTTGGCTGAGAGGTCATACGCTTTCTTGGAAAATGGTGGGCATCCCTAGCTTTTGCCAACCTACTCTACCATTACCAAGATAACATACACTACTGTATATCTAGACATATCGACTACTGCATATATACTCGCGTATCAGACGACGCTCGTATAAGACGACACCCGAGCTAAAAATCTTGTCAAACTCGATGTCATCTTATACAAGGGTCGTCTGATACGCGAGTATATATACTGTAGTCGATGTGTCTAGATGTGCAGTAGTGTATGCTATTTTGGTCCACTATCAAGAATATCATTTAATGAATTTTAACAAGTCTTTGATACAGCAGGTACCATATTTTCTTCAGTTCAGAAAATGGAACGTACCAATTCACTGGCCGGCATTGAGCCTGGGCAGTCTTTCGTCTTGAAAGCTTTTGATAGAATTAATAAATGACAGAAGAAAATTTTGTCCAATTAGATTAATTTTTATATATAACTGACTGGAAAAAATTTGCTTTCTGTTCCTGCTTCAACCTAAGCAATCGGATTAGTGTGGGCAAAGTTATGATGTTGCAAAGAAACAACTCCTCATAAGCCAGCTTAAGACACACTAAACACCTATTTTCGTAATTCAACTCAAAAATGACAAAGCAAAATATTTAAAAAACAATATTTTGTAAATTGCTTGCAATAGCTATATTTGTCAAACCTAATTTAACTGATCTCTAGTTTTTGAGTTAAGGTTTTTGTATTAAAAACAGTCGGTGCTTTTTGAAGAAGCACTAATGGTTATGAGATAGGGTGATTTTCACGGTGATGTGCTTGCAGTAAAGTGGACCAAACAAATTAAAATGAGAGGTTTGGAGAGCTTCTAAATCTTTTTAGGCATTGATCATAGACTGGACACTATTGAGGCCTAGGCTGGACACACCTACCCCAGCTAGACCTGTAGACTCAATACTGTTTGTATTTACTGACCACATATATTTTGAGTAATATAAATGAATAACCTTTAACCTACGTATTAAATCTGCGTATTTTATGATTAAGGAGATCAGGCAAGAAGCCACACGTAACTTCACCGCATAAATATGTGGAATTATGACAAAAGAAGTGTAGGTTATTAACAAACCTCATCTGACATGAGTGTGGCAATGCATCGACCAATCTCGTGGTATCTAGCAGTTTCTTCCGATGGGGGGCCAAGGAGTATGAATAGAAATCTGGTGGGAATGGGAACTTCTGTTAAATCACCAAGTAATACAGAATGCTCCAATCTGACAAACGCGATGACTGCATGCGACAAGAAATCTACTTCTCCTACTAGGACATTCGATGCTTCAGCCCCTGCTGGGATCTTCTTCATGAAGTGGTGTTTTGCCTAAAGATAAAAAAACAAATAATACTGAAATAAGTATAATTTTTTGGCTAAATATTTCAAATTATTTTTAATTCATAAAAATTTTAAGGGAAGGTATGCATGCACTAGTCTTTATATAATATTAATGATTCTTTATTCAAACATTTAGAAATTTGAAACAATTTGAAATACACAATATAGAAATAAAATTGCAAAACTTTACAATAGACAATATAAAAAAGTATATAATATAAAAGATATGTCGAAAAGTACAACTGAGCTGGTAGCAAGTGGAATCAATGGCTTGACCACAGAATAAAGCTACTAGAGCCCAGTTTCAGCAACAAGGGCGCAGATAGTGTCTGGTTTAATATTAATTATATTCCGAATCATAATATAAATAGCACAGGGACAGTTAGTGTAAATGAACTATAAATAGCACAATCATATTTACCACTATTATCGTTTTTACCATTAGAGTGATTTTACTATTATCATTAAACCATTATTACCTTTATTATAATTATGATCACTGTTCAATATAAATAAATGATTATAATCATCAACAATATGAAAAATCTTTAAAATAAACTGAAATTTCTTGTGAAAAACCGAAGATTTCAGACACTGGTGTCATTATTAGTTGACTAGTCACAGCAAACCATAGACTTCAAATGAATATTTAAAAACACAGCTTTCTACAATCACTTCCCTTTTCATGAAGCAAGCTAAGTTTCAAATGCCAAGCTTTGACGACATGCACACTACTCGAGCCAAACTACACGTCCTATCCTGAATGAAGATTCTCATTAGCAGCAATCTTCAGCTCTCAAACTCCTTACATACCCAGCTATCAATGCCAGTATTCGATTTGCTGATATGCAAGAAGCTTTATTTATCTTGGTAATAAATTAAATTTTGGATATCGAAATATCTCATGCAAGTGTAGGATTCACCTACAGGTTTATATTCAATGATTTTAAACAATCCACAAAATCTAAACATGTATAATTTTTTTTCCTTTCACCAAAAACATCCAACCCCCACACAAAGGCACTGATATGGCAGTCTTAATATACATCTGATCAATGTGTTGGACCAGTGGGAGGGGGAATAACTTTTAGATAGGGGAAGTCTACATTTTAAGACAGGAAAAATTTGTGATGAAGAATGGTTTTGATTAAAGCTTGTGATTTTCTAGTTATGTTAAGGTCATATTAGTATTAATCACTGTTTTGAGCAAATAACACTAAAATGTACATCACATATTTAAAAATAAAAACACCTATAAACTTGAAAATTTTGCAAAACATCAATGTTTCGATGTATTAAGCACTCTTTCAGGATGCTGCCAAGCTCACATTTTAAGCTGTTTTTATTTTAAGCTATTCCTTTGCAGTGTAAAATGCAGTATGATGTATGACTTAATAAGTTTCAGGACAAGTATCCCCTTCACAAATCTTCTATCCCCTTCTTCACTCTGGGCTAAGTACCCCATTAAATTACACTACAGACAATGACCAATTGATAAATGTCAAGGATTTTCATTTAAAGCCAATCCAGGAAAAAGGTGGGGAAAAGAGTGGTTACTTCCCTTTCCCACTAGCCCCACCCTTTCCAGTTTTTTAAATATTTAAAATTCTATATCTCATTTGTCAAACAGTAAATTTTTTTCCTTTGGGGCATGGCTTTAAGAAATTTTCTTGGTAGATGCTCAATCTAATAAGAACACTTGCCTATGGTAGAATAATTGCCAGTCAAAAAACATCTATAAATTCAATTATTGATATGCACATACATATTGTCTATGATATATTCTAAAAAAAAAATCTTCCTAATTTGATAAGAAATATTGACTTGCATTTGATCCAAATAAAAAAGGATCAAATAATTTATAATTTGATCCAATTAAAAGAAAAAATGAAACACAATTCAGTATTTTTACGACGTTAATTTATTATAAGCTCATTTAAATGTCCATGTACTGTAAACAATAAATGAATGGTACTTTATTGTGCATCATTAATTGGAGAGTTAGATATTTTCTTCTTTCAAACAAAGCTAATAATTTAGTTATAAATTATACAAAAGAAAGCAATTAAAATATTTTAAATTTTATTGTCGTCTCAATGAGACGGTATTTAAAGATAATGAATAGATAGTATTTTAGCACTAAAATTTGATTTTCTAAGTAACAAATATAGAAAAATCAAGAAATTAATCGACCAATCAAACTAATAGTAAAAATAGGGCAAACATTCATTAAAAACTAATTGTAATAATTGTTGGGTGCTGCATATTTATTATTTTGTGCTAGTTTCATCTCTAATATTTTGGATATAAAATAACTTATATAAAATAAATAGCTAAAGCTTGTTACTTCAAATTAAAATAAAATAATATTAATAATTATGAATGTTGAACACAAACTAATTTATAATATGGTTAATATAATAACTAATGTACAGCATCACAAAAAAAAAAGTATCACAAAAAAGTACTAAATGCTTTAGGTTCATCTTAAGATGTCCAGATTATCAAATTTTCTTTGACAAAAAAAATGTTGTATGCCCATATATAGTCATGATGCGCCTAAGGATGACTATATATGGTCATGTTTTTTCAAATAAAATTTCAGCTTGAACATGGCATTAAAATTTCAAGCCGAGCACACACTGCGCTGATACAAATCTGAGAACGCAACGCGAAGATGCGTGCACAAAGGATCACTTTAATGAAGTTCTGCTCAGGCTGCCACCAATCTCAACACACAGTGTTGTGTCATATCAAGGGTGACGGTTCCATCAGCTGACAGTTGTACAATACAGTGTGTGCCCAATTTAATATTTAAATGGGATTTGAGATACTTTTTAAAGAAATGAACTGAAATGATAAGTAGTGGTCAAGTAGAAGAAAGAGAGAACAAAGTAAAAAAAAGAAAAGCATCAGAAATAACAAAGTAAAAGTACAGAAAGACAATGGAAAGACAACAAAGTAGAGGAGGAAGAATGGCCAGAAAGAAGCGGACAAAAGAGATAAAAAGAATAGAGCATTAGACAATGGAAGAAGTAGTATAGTAGAATAGAACAATGAAAGATGACAAAGTGGAGGATTGATAAGAATAGCAAAGAGAAGAAGATAAAGAAGAAGGGTAGGGATTACGGAAAGATGAATTAGGAATAGAAGTGGACAGTAAAAGAGAAAAATCTTGAACAGGTTTAAGAAGAAGAGCAAAGTAGTTGTAGTACAGAGGACCAAGAAATATAAAATAATGAAAAGTAGAAGAAAAACTTGAAATGTTTTCATAGTAACATCCTGATCTTTCATAAGACTCAAGCTTAGTGCCTGACAGACAAACATCTTAACACCTATGGCTATAGCTCCACTCCATAACAATATTAAAATTCAAAATACATAATTTTGTAATCATACATTTTAGTGTGTTGGCATACCATTCAAACGTGATACACACATCATGTGGTAATGTGTTGTGCTAAACTAATGGTGAACTTTTCATGAACCTGCTATTACTTTTCTTATAGTCAGTTATGAAAATATGTGATGTTAATTTCAAATTTCGAAAAACGTGTTAACATCTAAGATTCCAAGCCACGCTGTATTAGTATAGAAAAAAGAAAGACACTTCACATTCTAAATTATTACGAGAAAAAAATAACCAAGCAATGTTGGGAAAATAGAGAAATAATTTTTAAGAAAAGATGATTTAAATAACTGACAGTATGGCAACAAATGATGATGATGATGACGATGAGGATGATAATGATCATGAGGATGATGATGATCATGAGGATGATGATGATGATAATGGTGATGATGTTGACAATGCTGATGCTGAAGATGATGATCATAATGCTGGGGTCCCAAGTAGAAAGAATCCACATTCGGGAGATCTGTTTAAATATATTCTGCTCTAGATGGTGATAGGCATTTGTGCTAACACAAATGAGAAAATTGATAGTGCAGTATTTAAAATTGGTAGAAACATGCAAATATTGTGAATTTGCGAGAGATTCTTGCTTATTCGCTGGAGTGCGGGAGGACTTCTTAATTTCCAGGAGACTCCTCCGACTTCCGGGAAATTTGAGACCCCTGATAATGACAACCATGATGATATGATAAATTTGTTGATGACAGATATGAAGATGATGATGCTAATGTTAAGGATAATAAAGATTTAAGGTATACCGCCACCCAATCAAGAAAACCTCAAAATTTTAATAAAACCTGTTCATTATGAACAACATAAGCTTTAACTTTTCAATAAGTCACTGATCAAAAAAATAGTTTTCAATTACTGTATTTACTGTGAAAGTGTTTTTAAAAGATGTACTAGTAAAATAATCCTTAAATTTGCTGTAAGAAGACTTAATTTTGCCAATTTAAAAAAATTTTTTTTTTTTTTGCACATTATATATATTTTTTTCAAGAAATGCCAAAATACTCAATTATGTACACCTCCAAAGATCAACTTTTGAAAAATTGACCAAATCCATAATTCTGAAAGTTGTTATTTTAACCATATTAGCTCTGTGGTAACCACTCTATTGCTAAGTAAGCCTTGCACAGGTCAAAACAAAAGCTGAATGACTGACCATGAATTTCAAATGTCATTGGGCATGGGCAGCACAACATTTCTTTGTAAGCCTTAATAATGATAATTATTGATTCATGATATAAATCATAAAATATAATATTGTCGTAATTATGATGATGGTAACAACAACTCAATAAAGATTATAATGATGACAATAGTGTGAAATTATATTAATTAATATATAGATATATTTTGCGTTAAGAATGATTGCACTGGAGGCAACTGAAATTTATGTTTTTTAAAATAATAATGTAACATCTATGTCAATAATAATAATACAATAACAACAGTGATAGTAAATAACTACAGAACACAATAGTTGAAACAAATAAATTAAACATATCAAAACAACTGCAGCAATTTTTTGCTTGTCATGCCAAGGTAAACAATGTGACAGAAACATAGAGACTTGCCTCATGAGACATGTGGATAGTTTTCACTCTCTTCTGTCCAATCATAGAAATATTAATTGAATAGTTAATAATCAATTATTAATAATTAAAATAATATAAACATGTTAGAGAGATTAGTTGTTATCTACTTAAAACATATAAAATAGTAGGTCAGAGAGGGAATGAATTTATCACCTACTATATAAACTTTGTCTTGAGTACATTTTTTAACAGATTCTTATCCCTCCCCACCCCCCAAAAAAATTACTGCTTTAAATTATTCACTTAAAATTATCAAATAAGTTATCAATTATCAAATTAGACTGATAACAAAAATAATTTTTTTTTATTGTATTAAAGACACTTTACTATGAAAATAATTAAATAAATTATCAGTCAATTTAATTATTATGTAAAGAAAATAAATATTATAATGTTTACTATGTTTTGGGGGAGAAAAACATTTTCTTGTTTTAAATTATCTTAATTAAAAGTTCATAACTTACTAAATAATTATGTAAAGTAAGGTAGTTTGATATTGAATGTTATTCTGCCAAGTTCAATATCTCAATATAGAATTCAGTATATTCTGTCCACAAATTTGGGTGTAATATGACATCATCATGCTCATGCATGAGCACATCATACAAATTTGATAGTGTAGACAAAGCTTTAAATAAATTATTTACAGCAGTCATTTAAAAAAAAAAAATATTATACTTTATTTATATCCACCAGCAAACATGTGCAATTACCAATTAAGGGACGGAACGATGAGAAAATCTATAAACCAAGTCTCATTGAAGAACCTCACAGACCAAAAACAAGACAAGTAGGTCAGGTGATATCAGAGCTGGTACACAAAATAATTAATGATGGTAATGCTCCAACATATCTGATGATATATTTAATTCCTGTCAAGACATTTTCAGAGTTTCAATATCAATCAAAAGAATGACCAGTGTTTTAGCAAATCCTTGAATTAAAAGCTTTGCCATAGCCCTCACCACCCCTTCCGTCTAATTATTCTTTAAAAAATTATTGGTAATAAGATAACACAAGTGAGGCACTCTAAATCATATTTTTTTTCCAGAGGTAATATGAATAAATATTTAACTCCATTAAAATTTCTAACCTACCATATAAAATTATACCAAATATAAACAATTTAAATGAGACACAAATATAGAAATTTAATTTCCATGTATACCTTATTAGAGTAACTTGATTTTTCAAAATTGATGAAAAATGAGATTATTTCCATAATTTTATATTCAAAATGTTGGAAAAATTAGACTATATAAAATAATTAAAAAAATTATTGGTAAGAGATAACACAAGTGAGACACTCTAAATCACAGTTTTCCAGAAATAATATGGATAAATAGGGAAAATTTTATAATAGGTTCATCAAATAATATTTAACTCCATTAAAATTTAGTACCTATCATATAAAATTATACCAAATAGAAACAATGTAAATGAGACACAAATATAGAAATTTAATTTTTATGTATACCTCATAAGATTTATAATTTTTTTCAAAGGTGATAAAAAAAAGAAGATAATTTTCATAATTTTATTTCCAAAATGTTGGTAAAATTAGACTAAAATAAAAAAAAAAATGGAGTTCTGAATATTATTGAACATGGAAGAACTTAAATTGGTATAAATATAAGATTTAAGTAATACCTTCATACTCTGAGCGCTTGGTACATGAGGTAAACTGCCTGATGGGGGTGTGGAACTACCATCTACTACACCTAGATGCGAGCCGTGTGAAAAGCTGGTCCTTGGCATAGATGGCGTGGATTGCGTTGCAGATAGAGCTGTTCAACAAACAATAATTTGAGAGTAAGATTTGTTGGGAAAGTTTAGTTCACATTATCAAGTATGCAACAAATATATGATTTGTTCATATATGGGCCTGTTGATGTCATGATACCCATTTAGACTGTAGGGATGATAATGTTGTCATATTGTACCTACCGTATATGGGAAAACCACAGGTATTTGTCATAAAAAAAACTTAACAATGTGAACAGAATACTACAAAAAAAAAAAAAAACATTTCTTATCCTTTCCTATATTATTTTTTTTAGATCCTCCTCTTTTAATTCTGAGGAGGAAAAACACATCATAAATCTAAACATCATTGTAATTGATTAGTAGCTGTTTGTGCATAAGCACACATTGCACAGGAAACTGGTAGTCTTAACTCCTCGAATAAAGCTGGCTTTATCTCTTAGACGGTCTTACTAAAGTCATTCCTCTAAGACTATTGCTATAAAGTCTTCCCTAAGACCGCTTTGAGTATTGAAACGCAAACAAGCACTCCCTGGTAAAGTAAGATTGAGGGCGACGTCATGCGTGCTCGACGCACGCAAATGTATCGAAATGAACGTAAATAAACGCCGTAGACCTATTTTTACAGATGCTGAGAAGTGTGCGGAGTAGGCTTCAAAATTTAAGATGGCTAACTGGTTAGACCGCGGTATAGCAATTGTCTATAATCATAGACCATATAGACCAGTAGTGGCATCACGTTTATAGCCGGCTAACCGTTAAGACCGCTTATAGCAATCCGCCCCTGGATTGCAACTTAAAAAACAATTTTAATTTGTTATTGTCTAAAAGTCGAGTGGCCACTGGCACAAATTTAAATGAAAAATAATAAAATACATAAACTATAAACTACTATGGGCAACATATAGTATATGTTCCTACATTGTTCCATGTTTCCATGGTGATAACTGCCAGATAATGACCGTCCAATATCTACCAGTGATCTGATGCCCGGCAACAAGCTACCGTGTCGCTTGGAATCTCGGTGTTTCTTTTCACATTGATGACGATGACGGCAGAGCAGCGCTTCACGTACATTGTACCTCTGTTCATCATCAAGTTGACCAGATGCGATAAACTTATCAAGAACAAGATCTAGAGGAACAAGACAGTTTCATTAATATTTGAAAGGTATCTTATTTAAAATAGAAACAGAATTTTAAATAATCTAGGAAATAAATAATAATGCTTTGAGCTTATAACATGAAAAATGGAAAGAAAAAAAAATTCCTTTATCTACCATTATAATATAAATCTTTATTATCTATGGATTATCTGCTAAATACAATAACTGTTAACTATAACTTGTTTCTACTTAAAATTTCATCTGTCTGCTTATACAACCTAATATGTTTATCAATTGTATGCTATTTGGTGCTATTCACTACAGTATTATATTCTACTTACAAATTCATACATCATATTTTCTTATACAAATCTTTATATCTACAGATTACCTGTTTCTAAGTTGTTAACAGCACTGTGAACATATAAATTGTTTTTACTTGAAATTCTATTTTTTATATAATGTATGAATTAACCATATTATTTGATAGAGCTATTTTTAATAGAAATTTATCACAAATAATCCATTTCTTAGTCTCAACTTCACAGTTATATGTCGAAGGTCATCTCAAATTACCCTTTTTGACCTTTTGTGTTTTTCATGTATATTTTGATATATATAAATTATAATAACAATTTTCCATTTTAATGTAAAGTTGTATCGTACTAAATTTCATTGTTAATATCAATTTTTATAATGACGATAATAATTATTTCCCCTTTTAATGTAACATTTTTATATATTTTATTGCCACTCTCTTGTACAGTAATTGTAACTTACTGGCCACGATCTGTATCAAATGAGGAATTTGAATTTTGAATAAAGTGAAATATAATATAAACAAACAAATTATCTAGCATAGGGTCTATGTTAATATTTATACTTTATTTATTAACAGTTAAGTTTGTTTACAGTTTTCAAGTAAATAATGATTAATGATAGTATAAGCTGTATGACTGCTTATGTGATTTGAACTTTGACATAGTTATGCACAAATGAGACTCTGAAAGGGATTATTCATCTACATTATATTCTTATAGAGACCTTTATATTTATTACCAGTTAAAGGATACTGTTAATAAAAAATAACTTGTTTCTCATTAAGCCCTAACTTTTATTTGACAAAAACATGTGACATGGGTAAGTATGGTCATGATGACATCACATCATGACCATATATAGGCGCATCATGACTATATATGGGCATACAACAGTTTTTGTCAATCAAAATTTGATAATCTGGACAGGATTTTAGAAATTACATCCTACATTTTCCAACACTCTCCCTGCAAAACAATGATATCATTCCCATATAATAGCAACCAAAGGAAATAGCCACTACAATTTAAGACATCTCATCAAAGATTGAAAGACCAGTCACTCAAACTGACCAATAACTAAAACAAATGTTCAAGAGCAGAGTAAACATACCTGCAATTTGATCAAGATTCTCTGCATTCATGTCCAGGCATACCGTTCCTATCAGGATGCAATTTCTGAGTTCAAACAAACTGTGGAGAGACAGTGTTGAAATGTGTGGCTTGCTCCAACGGTCAGCACCTTCTTCTACATCTTCCTCATACTTTATCCACCTGAAAATTGACCAAAAAATTATTTATTAAACTTTGAAGCATTAAAATAACAATAATAAACATAATATATAATTTAATGTATAATATTCATATTTTTATTATCATATTAGCTAAATTATTAGCTGTAAAAATAAAAATATTGTTAATCATCACATTTTTATCAAAAATTATGGAGGTAATATATTTAAAATAAAAAGTTGTGTATAACAAATAATAATAATAAAATATAATTCCATTTCCATTTATTATGTTAGCTACTATAGCTGTATATGTAATGTAATTGTCAATCATCACTTACTTTTTAAATAGAAATATTACATTAAGATGTCAAAAATATTTATAAAATATTTGCCTTTTTACAATTACAAAAAGGCAGCTTACATTTGGTATAAAACACAAACACTAAGGTATGAGACATTCTAGCACCTTAGATCCACAATACCAATATATCTGTGATGTAACTCGTTAATCACAGAGTGATTAAGGCAAATCACAGCTGATCTCCATTCTACAATATCAACACACTTTTAGACAACATGGCGGTTAAGTTATACGAAAATAGAAATTTTGATCATTTTTACTGATTTTGAAATGTGCATTTAATATCGTATTTTTATAATGTATATAATCCGTTTTAGTGTGAATACCAGTATCCATGTATTTTGATTTCTCAGAGTAATAATTTTGCCTCCGTACCATTTGTAAACACTTCAAAAACAAAGGGAGACAACAAATAGATATGAGTCTAAAAAGCAAATAGCTATAGTTTGTTTGATTTTTATAAATTTATGGAATATATTCAATTCAATCACGGTAAATTCATTAAATTTTTATTACAGTGTAAATAAATATATATAAAAATAACAGAATATAAATTTACACCAGGTTACATATTCAGGAAACCTTCTCCTGGTGCCCTAACTCTAATTCCCTATTCCATAATTTGAACAGCTGGAGTTGGTATGTATTATCAGCATAGATAGCAAACGATAGCCTTTCAACTATGACTTGGAAATAATTAGCATAATCTGCCATGGTTATTCTGACGAGACATGGCATGAAAGCGTGACAAGGTGATTTGTGGCCGATAACTCTGATACTGTGTAATTCATATGTGAAAGGTTAATACACTTTACAGTGTACAGTAAAACAATGACTATTATGTACACTGTATTGTACATTGCTACTAAATAATGTAGAACAACACATACAGTAGTATAGGCCTAGATTTAAACTGAAAAACTGTGCCTATATCTA